TGGGAACCATAGATTTTAATTTCAAACCCTTAATTCACGAGCAAGTTTATTCAATGAGGAACAGGCACAGGGGATTGTGCAGAGTTAAGAAAAATGTCCGCTAGGCCAATTACCCCAAGTCTGGGCCCTTCACAGCTCTGGCGCAGGGCGGGTCATGCCTATAAGAAAATGCAGACCATTTCACTGCTTGGTTTGCCTGTGCATCAGGGAGGAGGGGCTTCTGCTTTCACTCAGATTGATTGATTGCGTTTTCTTTTCCTTGGTAATCGTTAAAAAACAAAATAAAACCTCCTGTAAGCCTTTTGGAACTTCTGGAAAAGTCCCTGTGCTGAGGACCGCTGAATCTGAGAAGAGTCAGGAGCAGAGCTGGAAACCACTTTTCCGCACCCCCTCTTCCCAGGCTGGGGACCCTTTCCTTCCCCAGGATGTCGTGGGTGAGTGGGAAGCCATCCCGGGGCAGTGAGCAAAATCAACCAAACCAGACTGGGTTTGCACTGGCAGGAGGCCCGGGGAAACCTTGCTGATGGCAGGAAAGGATGGCCACGCCCTGGTGGGCGTGAAATGCCCTCCTCACCTCTAATTACAAAGAAGAAAAAAAATTGCTAAAAAAAAAAGATGCTTCACGTGTCTTAATATAACTGGAAGCGACCATCTTAAGCTTTGAAGGCTGCATCCTTTGAGGCAGTTTCCAAAGGAACTCCACGTCAGGGGTAGTTGACGTGGTCGTGGTGAGGAGTCTGTTTCAGATAAGCATCCTGCAGTCCTGGGTGGGGGCTCATCCTAGGAGGGGAGCCTCAGGGCACAGACGTGACTGGAGTTGGTTTGATTGGAGTGGAAATGGGGTCTTCAGCCCCACTCTCTACCAGCTGCCAGCACTCCCTGGGTTCTGCTCCGCCCTCTTGGTCAGTGTCCCAGAGGACACCCAGCCACCCTTTGGGGCTGGGATCCAACGCCTGACACTGATGGGGCTGCAGGGACTTGCGGACGCTTTCTTCCCCACAGCTCTCTCTGGGGCTGCGTGGGCTGTGGGAGGGGTGAGGACAGAGTGAGGACCTCCAAGACCTCCAGGCACTGGGCTCTGTTTGGTCCCCCAGGGGCAAGACCCTCCCATCTCGTCCCCATTGCTGTCTCTTGCTTTTCTGTGTTAACTCAGTTGCATCGCCCTCCGCTGTCTGGTTTCTTCAGGAAGCAGTGGGATCATAGGAGGCTCCCTGGTCCTCATCTTGAAGGCTAGCAACTAGGCATCTCCCAGCTGTCATCCTCCAGCTCATCAGTGTTTCAGGTCCGTGATGGAGCCCGGGGGAGGGGGTTGATTACCTGGACGCATCTACCCCCGCCCCTTCGCACTTAGAGCCCGCAGTGAAGTGGGTTCAGGTGGGAGCCCTTTGGCCATCACGCTAAGCTGTGGCCTCTGAGTGACCTACCAGGGCCTCCGGCAGATGCCCATTTGTGTTGAAAATTTGCAGGGCCCTGCGCAGAAAATTTTATAGATAAATGATGGCCATAAGTGTCCTGTTGAGTCTTTGCTGAGGGATTATTGTCAAGGCATTGCTTAGAAATTATCCAAACAAAATTCCCTCAGTTCTGAACACACATCGGTTTGTCTACGTACGAACATTACAAATTGTGTTTACAGGGGTTTATTAGCTGGTGTCCGACTCCTTCAGTTCTGAGGCTGCTCGGGAGCCGCGTACTGGCCAAGGGAAAGTCGTGATGTGTTAGCGCAGCTCTGTAGAAAGCTGATTGTTAGTCAAATGGATCCCAGCCAGATTTGGAGTCTTACGAAGAGCTGACCTCAAAGGGACCTTCAAGATCATACACTCCAACCTTTTCTTTTTTTGACTGAGCTACAGTTGATTGACAATATTGTGTTAGTTTCAGGTGTGCAGCAAAGTGATTCAGTCATATACATATTCCTTTTTAGATTCTTTTGCACTATACGTCATTATAAGATTCTGAATATATTTCCCTGTGCTATATGGTACATCTTTGTTGTTTATCTATTTTATATATAGCGCTGTTTCAATTTCTTCAAAGAAGAACCAGAGGGAGCCTTAAAGGCCTGGGATGGGCTGGCACTTTGGTTCACCCCTCCTTAAAAGAACTTTAAAGCAGAGAGGGTATAGCTCGGTGGTAGAGCACATATTTAGCATACACAAAGTCCTGGGTTCAAGCCCCAGCACCTCCATTTGAAAATAAATAAATAAATGAACCTCATTCACCCCCCCCAAAAAAAACCTACAAAAAAAGAGAATTAAAAAAATTTTTTTCTTAATTGGCCTTGGCTGGTGGGGCGCAGAGTCTGCAGCTGGCTGCGGCCCACCTGCTCCCCGCCTGTTTCCTGGCTGCCCCCCAGGGCGGGCGGGAGGCAGCTCCGCTGTGCGGCTTATTCAGACGGAGCCTGGGGCGCCAGGCCTGGCCCCGCCCGGTGGAGACTGGTTCTCCGGCAGGTGGGGGCCAACTCCACCCGCCTCACACTCTTCACACAGAATGTTCTCTCACTTTCTTTGGAAAGTAACCTTATACCCGTCCGTCCCAGCTGAGGCAAGGAGGTGGAAGTTTAGCATTGGCCCTGTTGGGAAGCAGGAACAAAAATTAAACAACTCGAGAGACGAGCCCCTCTCCCACTCCAGCCCTGGTTCCACAGCCTCCAGCTGGAACCAGCTCCAACATCTGGGATTTATCAGTCGCCCCCACATTAACCCATTGGTTTCAGGAGTTGGGATTTCCTAAACCCAAAGCACTAAATTTGGCAATTTTTTTTTAACCTTTCCTTTCTGACTTTTAAGGAAGCAGGGAGCGTGTGTGGGCTAGGAGGCCAGTTTGGGTAGTAGCAGGTGGTTTCACGTCGGCTACCCACAGTGAACTCAGAGAAAGGAAAGTGAACTCAAACGGCCCTTGTTTGAGTTCCTCGTGGGTGTGTTGGGGTCTCCAGGTTCCTGCCCCAATGCTGTGCCTTTTTGCCTCTGGCTTTTGGAAGACAAAACCCTAAATAACATTGACCCTCATCGGCCCTCACTGAACTGATTACTTAAAACCTGGGGCTCTTAGGCTGGAGAGGGAAAACTCCCCCTACCTCAGGGTGGGGGTGCTACCAGGTCCCAGGAGAGCTCGGTTCCCTCCTTCAGCTGGACCCGGCAAACAGGAGCGACAAGAGGCCGTGGGCGCACGCTCTGGGGAAGGGGCGGCAGAAGCGGCTGGGGAACAGCAGGCCGACTTGTTACGCGCTCTCACGATTGGCTCCATGTTTTTCTTGTCCCTCTTCAGAGAGCTGATGGAGCGCACGGACAGGAGTATGTGGGTACCCAGGCTAGCAAAGGAAATTAACTGCAGTGGCATGGGGAGCCCACTCCCACCCTGGCCAGTCGGCTGCAGCAGCCCCAGGTCCCGGAGCCACGTGAGCTGAGCACACTTGATGCTCCTCGGCAGGCTGAAGTCCATGGTAACTCCCGCTGCCCGCTCAAGATCCGCATCTTAGGTGCCTGCAGAAATTCCCCTATGAGGGTCACCACCAGGTACGTACATGTCGGGCCCATGGTCTAGTGACGGGTGTGTGACTGGCCTTGGTAGTTTCCAATGAATTGCAAACGTGCAGAACCCAGGGGATGGGGCTGCACGTACCTCGCACGCCATTCCCGCCTCCACCCCTGCTGCCCCACCTCTCCCTGGTGGGTCCCTGCCCCGGCCCAGGAGCTCAGAGACCTCTGTCTTCAATAAGCACCTAGGCCAGTGGGACCCGCACGACCCTCACACATCTCTGCAGAGCCCCAGGGAGTAGGGTGGGGCGCCCAGGATTTGGGAGAAAACAGCAGAGGCCATGGTACTAGCTTGTAGAGGGGTGGGGGTGTCGTTTTCTCACAGCCCACAGGATCTTTTCTTAACTGGGACCTGGGGTCTTGGGGTGTCAGTACCCAAATGCTGAGGAAAGGCAGCCCTCTGGAGACCAGCCTAAGTGAGGGCAGGGGACACTCTGTCTCCTGACTGCAGCCTGGGGACAAGAAAAGGGGAGGCCAGTAGTGTCTGCACCACCAGCCGGGAGAGAGGAGGAGGGTGGCTGGGGACCGCCAATGGGCCCAGAACAGAGGCTTCCAGAATGTTCCAAATGCTGTGATATACGGGACCCAGGATGGAGCTCTGAGCTGCCCTCTGTCTTGAAATGGTACCATTGGTCAGAGCTGCAGGGGCCTGTATCCTGGGAGCTGCCACCCCCAGGGAGCGTGCACCAGCTAGAGTGAATGGACTGGCTTCCTCCAGGACGCAGCCCCTGCGGGACCGACAAGCAGGAGGAAGGGAAAGAGAAAGAGGATCTGGCCATCAGAGTTTATCCCCGTTACAGTGATGCCCTGGGCAGCCCAGGGATCACCTGGTGAAACAGCCTTTAAAGAAGTCAGTAAGAAAGGCCACAAGGAGGACTAATACTCTTTCCCTCCCACCTGACTTTCATTTGCTTACAAACACCTGAAAAGACAGCCCAGACTCCTCGCAAAGGCCTGGGTGTTGACTAAAGCAGAGCAGAAGCAGGTGGGAGACTGCGCTTAGGCTGGCCTGGAAACAGGGGAGGTGAACAGGCAGCAGGGATGGGCCGCGTCTCTGCGGGAGGCCTGGAGACAAGCCAGGGCCCAGCAAGCAGTGGAGGGAGCTGGGGGCCTGCTCCAGGGCCGCTCTGATCAGTGATAGAAGGGAAAGGTGGAGAATATGGAATTCCTGATTAGGCTGCTGCCTGATGTTCTGATTCATCACCGGCTGTGGATCGTTTTTGTGACAGTGAATAAATGGCGATGATCTGCATAGTATCACGTGGGTGGAAAGGGCCTGCGGTGACTGGGGCGCCAGCTGTCCTGTGCAGGTGGGGAGGGGCGGCCGATCTGTGCTCCGCGGTGGCTCTGGGGCCGCCCGGCAAAGCCAGACCTGAGAACGTGGTGACTGCAGGACACTTGTCATCACGGCTCTGCCGCAGAGAAGGGTGCAGGCCCCCAGACCCTGCTGGGGAAGGAGACAGAAGGCCTGGTCCACGTCACCTGTTTCTCTAGCAGAAGCCCTGCTGGGAGGGGCCCCTCTGCTCTGTGGCCACCTGCAGGCACAGTGATCAGGCCTCATCTGAGTTGAGTTGGAGGAAATTTGGGCTGCTTTACTGTCTGGTCAGCGGATGGGCAGGCATCCTCCCAAGTAGGGGCTGTCACATCCTTTCTTCGTCTTGCTGTCCCTCTGGGCACCGTCTCTAGATCCACGGGCAGCGGAAGCTTCAGGCTGCCCGTCGCGGCCGGGTAACCCAGGCACTGGGCTGCAGTCACATGTAACTTTCTAGAGCTGTCACATCTCAGGGGCCCTCAGCGTTTGGAAGACTTTGCCTCCTGGGGTAGGAGAGCTCAGCCTGGCCTCCACGGTCCCCTGTCTGTGCGCTGAGTGGCTCTGGCTCCTGCTGCCGGCGCCAGGCCATCAATGAGCTGGTGACGTCAGAGGGTGGACTGCCAGCCCTCCTGGCCACTGCTCCTGGATTCCTCCCCCCTCCTCACTTCCTCAAGACACAATTCCAGCTTCAAGTTTTCCAGTGGGCTACCCGAGACAAAGATGAGAGCCAGGTGGGGGCTTGCAAAGGCCAACGGGGACTCCGTGGGCCTTGGTACCACCTGGAATGCTGGCTGTCAGGGAAGCAGGGCTTCCTGGGCCCCGCTCCCACCCCGCCTGCAGTTTCCTTCCTCTGGTTTTGTCATCGTTCATTACCCTTTGTCGGTGACTTCATCGTGGACACAAGGCTCCGTCAGTTCGGCAAGTGGGGACTGAGCCAGAAAGTTTCCCTCCTCCTCAGGCTGGCTCCACACAAATGCCGTTTCTTTCCCCGCGTGCAGCCCCCTCTGCCGGCGGCCGGCCTCCACGGCACCCGGGCAAGGGCCTCGGGAGGGGGCGGCCGACAGGGCATCTGGACAAGGGAAGTGGGCTCAGAGCCAACAGGCATTTCCCATGGCCCCTAAAATAACTGACGATGGGAAAGAACGAGAATTTGTCTAGCTGGTCATACCTAACTTGGGAACACCTGCTTTCCAACTACCAGTGGGGGCTGTGTGTGTGTGTGTGTGTGTGTGTGTGTTTGCGTGTGTGCGTGCACAAGTTTAGATGTACCTTCAGCCGTGTGGAGCCATCTAGCCAGAACACTGGGGACACGTCCCCCGATGCTCCAATGAGCTGTATTGTTTTAGGTCCATTTTCCGTTTGCTTCTTCACCCAGAGACCTTCCTGATTGCCGGTGTCGGGCCTGGAGCCCCACTCACAGCAACCCTGAGGTTTCTGAGTAAATGTGTGGGTGACTGTGAATGACTCGGGGAGGGGGTTGAAGCTGTGTGGGAGGAAGGTCTGGCCCACCGAAATACTGCGGGAAAAAAAGGCCCTGTTATCTGACAGCCCACAGGGCCAGTCACCACCTTCTCTCCCAAGTTGTCCAACCTGGCACCTCACCGTAGACCACCTGTCCCTGCCGCCCGACCTCTGTTGACAGCCCACCAGCACCTGCAAGCTGGGAATTCTCACATTTTCCCACGTGTTGAAATTCCCAACAGTTGGACGGTGGGGTAGGCACGTTGGCACCGGGCACGCCGTGCGGGATAAAAATAGACCAATGACCCACACAGGGCTTTTTGTTTTTCGGGTTTTTTTTTTTCTCGGTTGTCTCTTGGGCCGGATT